TAATGCAATCAATGATATTCAATAATACTCCAAATTGAAACACCTAATGTTAACAATACATGGGGCCTTTAAAGGGTTCCGATTAGCATCCCGTATAAAAACAATATGGCGGCTCCAGGCGAATCAACTGGACCAGTCCATTTTTAAGTAATAAGGGGAGTTCTGTAAAATCCAGTTTATTGAAATTGTCTTTGAGATAAAGTAATCCGTTTATAATGATTTTGAAAACGTTATCCAAAGAGTGATTGCGTTCAAAGAATACATGTACAACAGCCAATATAAATCCTTGCATTAGAACTGCTTTGTTTCATTTGTAGGATATTTCATATGCCAAGCTGTGTGCTATTACGTTATGGGGAAATATAGATGCCAATTTTTCCTTATTATACACAAATAAAAGATCCTGAAACTTCACCCATAAATGTGGAATTGATTTGTCAAAATAAAAATCACCCTTTTATAAATGTGTGACGATCTATAATATACTTATGCTATATAACAGTTAGAGGTGTTGACACAACGACCTCGAACCTGTGAACCCTTGAGTATTATTCCGGGATCGGGCCTTTTATACTAAACGGTATGCAACAACAGAAACGAGCGTTCGATTTGCTAAACGATATGCGTCACCCTTTAAAAACATACTATCCACCTGAACCTTAAAGAACATTGAATTGCTAGAAGCTTTCTTCTCTGATCAATAGTGAGTTGAATTGGTGTAAACTCAGTCTTAAATCAACAGATAGTGCAATCAATGATATCCAATAATACTCCAAATTGTAACACCTAATGCTAACAATACATGGGGCCTTTAAAAACATACTATCTACTTGAACCTCAAAGAACATTGACATGCCAGAAGCTTTCTTCTATGATCAATAGTGAGTTGAATTGGTGTAAACTCAGTCTTAAATCAACAGATAATGCAATCAATGATATTCAATAATACTCCAAATTGTAACACTTATGTTAACAATACATGGGGCCTTTAAAAACATACTATCTACTTGAACCTCAAAGAACATTGACATGCCAGAAGCTTTCTTCTTTGATCAATAGTGAGTTGAATTGGTGTAATCTCAGTCTTAAATCAACAGATAATGTAATCAAAGATATTCAATAATACTCCAAATTGTAACATTTAATGTTAACACTTATTGTTGACAAACGTTCAATAACTTTGCCGCAGGCATTGTTATATTAGTAGCTATTTCGTTGCAAAAAGTTTTGCAAAAAGTTTACTTTAATTAGTATTGACATACCGATTCAGGAATATTTATTTTTCTAAAAGTTTTCTGTTGCTTGCATATGGTTACCAGACCTTCAAACTAACAACTTCGGCTTCAATTAGAATTATTTATACCATTAGTTAAGTAATTATATATAATAATATTGTGTACTTTTGGGAATAATTTCGTTCACTCAGAACTAGATTTAGTTCATATTTAATTCATTATGGAAAAATTGTGTACATGTAATTACAATGATTAAAGGATGAAATGCTGCATGAGAGGCTGGTATGAAAAAGTCAGTCCATCCCAGTGAGGATTGAACCTACAACCTCTCATTTTCCAGGTGATTGCCCTTCTACTGAGCTATAGGACTGACTATTAAATAGTATTAAGCCTTATTATCCCAACTAACGAAATTCAGTTGGAATATGGTGAAATCCTCCTTAGTATATACACAGCCAATATAATTCGACACCGTTTCGGCATCGAACTAATTCGGCACCGTTCCAGCACCGTTTCGACACCGTTCCGGCACCGAAACCTTTCGACACCAAAATTTGTTACCGGACTAGTCAGTCCATTTGGTGCCGATACGGCACCGAAATTTGGCACCGAAACGGCGTCGAAAATCAGATTGCATTTTGGGGGTGTATACATGTATTCAGTTTTGGTGATTTATGTCACATTTAAATTCTGATTTCAGATTTGGAATCCTGAGAAAATTTCCTGTTTTGACACCTTGTATTTTGAGCGCCATCCGCTAGGTGCGGTATTTTATTATACACCGGACGAAAAAATAGTATGACGTCATTCCCGTCATATATAATATATGATGTCATATAATATATATTTGACGTCATATAATATATATTTATAGCGAGCGCGAGACATCTATCGGCGAGCTCAGGAATGAAAAGCATGAACCAATTTGACGCGTCAGAACAGCAATTCGCCCGCTGTGTTAGCATGACAACAAATATGCCCAGTATACCTCAGAAATAGTCTTAACATTGGGGTTGAATGTCTTAGCATGACCAAATAGGTGTCCAGTATATACCTCAGAAATGGTCTTAAAGTTGGAATTGAATGCCTTAGCATGACCAAATAGGTGTCCTACTAATTTACAAGGAAATTAAGATTCACTTACTCTCAATCGGAAATTGTTCCAGTAATTGATTTCTCCTCTGTAATACAATCAGTGACAAGTGCACAAGGTCCTTGAGGAATAGAGCAAGATTAGAAACCTCCAATAGTCCACCACCCTCTGTACTTAAACAAATAGAAAAAGTTCCATCTAATTAGTACTATTATATAAATTAGTACTATATATTGAATCTAGAAAAAGTTCCATCTAATTAATACTATTATATAAATTAGTACTATATATTGAATCTAGAAAAAGTTCCATCTAATTAGTACTATTATATAAATTAGTACTATATATTGAATCTAGAAAAAGTTCCATCTAATAAGTACTATTATATAAATTACTACTTTATATTGAATCTATGCAAAATAAAAGGAATGTGGGTGGATGGAGAAATGGGAAGCTATTTAAGTTTTTGGACTCTTATTCTGGGAAAACTAGAAAAGCTGATACCCCTTCCTGTCTATTTGTTTGCGCCCATCCCTAATGAAAACTATTATTTTGCACCTATTTTAAACATATACTTTTTTTGCACCTATTGTAAATAAAAACTATTTTAACTTATTTTGACAAAAACTTTTTTTTGCGCCCATCCTACTTAATTTGCACCCATACTCAATAAAAACTAGATGTTTGTAAATGTTTGCGCCCATGCTTAACAAAAGTCCTTTGGTTCAAACCATCCTTAACAAAAAATTATTATTATTATATATTTATTACCCATCCTAAACAAAGGCTATTTGTTTGCACCCATATAAAACAAAATCATTACTTCTCACCTATCCAAAACCAAAGCTATGAGGATTACTTAACATGCAACCCAAACAAAAACTATTAGTTTATGTCTGTCCTAATAAAAGGTTATTGACCATGATGTCCAATAATATCAGACTTATACTCTCAAACCTGCAATGTAATAGTGATATACATATTTAATATCAGATAATTTAGTCTCTACGGAATAGTTCTATAGATTTTTCACATGGTAAAACAAGCGCTTAAAAGCTTTGTGAATTCACATTTCGTGTATAGCGGATATTTACCATAGGATAGAACAACAGTAGCGGAGAAATCCCTCGAGAAATATATCACTTTGGTCACTTTTTGAAATGTGAAATAGATGAGTAAAGAGTGAAATTGACAAGAAATTGAGTAAACAAGCATGACGCTAAGACCCTAAATTGTATAGAAATATATGTATTTCTGGACATATCATTCATTTTAGATTGATAAAATGTGAAATAATATGGCACAGTAAAAATTGTGGACACTTTTAGCGTGGAATTGCGGAGTAGATGGATTTGTATCTAATTGGGTAATATTGTGATAAAGGAAACTTGGCTTTGGATTCGTTAAATTTTTGCTTGCAGCGTGAGATTAGGAATATAATAGGAGTAAAAGATAGCATAAGATACACTCTAGGAGGGATATACAGATAAAAGTAAAAGACTTTGTACATGCAGTTAAATAGTACATTGAATACACTCTAAGAGGAATGGGCAGATAGAAGTAAAAGATACTGCATTGAATAAGTTCTAAAATTGATGTATCTATAAAAGTCAAGGACTTTATACAGTAAAATAGATATTAACTGAATTAATATGACGAGGATGTTCAAACAGGGCTATAGAAATTCAAATATAATATCACATATACTTTGACTTCCTAATTTATATAAAATATATAAACTTAAATGTAATATTACTCAACCTTTATGTGCTGAGAGACCGAGATACGCTACTGAACTAAAGTTAGATATGCCATCAGTCATCAAGGATGGAAACCATAAAGTATAAAACATACAGTTTGTAATTGACTTGAGATATAGAAGCCATAAAAGCCCTTTGTGACATTGTTAGGAACGTTGGATTTGAAAAAAAATTTCTTAATGCGTAATTACTCCCTCAATTGATTATGACTAAAGTGATCATACTTTCTATTTAATAGAAATCGCTATAGACAGAATTTACGTTGACATTAATGTCAAAGTGAAATACAGCTCAGTTGCAGACGGCATACAGAATCAAAATATTTCACGGTGATCATCTAAATTCTGGAATTCTCTTCAGAATTTGAATGAAGTATATTGATATCTTGGATCTTTATGGAATTTAGATTTTTGGCTCTATGTTACCCAAATTATTAGATTGAATTCAAAATAGTTATTGTGATATCACGAAAAGAAAATGAGAGCCTTTGGACTTTTATAGCGGGAGTAAGAGTCAGATCTTCAGGGACACTTTGTCTATACACAAGTGGTGTGTAATGAGGAGAGACAATTATGATCAGCTCCTTACATTATCTATATCAATACATATTTACGCTTTGCCACATTGATGTTATATATTTCGATTTTGTCTGCTATATAGTAATCAAATTTGACTAAGTGTCCCAGATTTATACCCCTTCATTATGTTTTATGCCCTTTCAAGAAAGATTAAGATCGCTGTGAAATTTTTTGTAAGAGCAGAGTGCCAATAGCGAATTCCGGCACATTGCACACTACTAAGTTTTATCCTAAAAGAATCAATAAGGAAAATGAAATAATCTACTGAGGAATTCAATGTTAGCTGACTCAGATCAGAAAATGAAAACCGTGTCAGGAATCTAAAAGAAGATGTAATCAACGAAGTTATGACGCTTTTGCATAGCGAATCTACTAATCGGGAAAACTCATGTGAGTCACTTGCTGATTATGTATTCCCTAATATGGATGGTCGTTTCGACACAGTGAATCACGTTGGAAGTATTGATGAATTAACTACAGGGAGCTTGATGGCTAAAGTTGATGAAAATGATCGACCCACGGTAGCTAGATCAAGTGCCAGAAATCTGCTATACACACAAGAATCTGATGTAACTGGAGAAAATACAATAGTTAAGAATGCTGGGAAATTAAGAGATTTCACATATGCTGTACACTCGAGAAGTATAAATCATTACAGTGTCAAACACCCTGGTGAGGTCCATGACTGTAATAATAAGACCTTTAGACACAAGCAGAACAGCACAGTACCCATACTGGGAAAGTATGAACCACATCTTTGTACCAGTCACACTGACTCATACTTTGATCATGATTTGGAAATTATTAAAATGGATATACATTTTTTGAATAATAATGGAGCCATACCAGAAAATAATGTGAGTATTCAAAATAAACAATACACAGATTTGATCATGTCCACTGACAATAGTGAAGTTAACAGAGATGAATCCTTAAATATTTCCAACAATGAAACAGTTCAACAGAATATAAATTCTAACATGTATGATGAAAATGAAACCGAATCTATGAACAATGACATAAACGATGAGTCTAATATTTGTGACATTGATAAAGAACCATTAAACTTTTTGAGCAATGAGTTGAAGCAGAATAAGCATGATACAATGATTTATGAACATGATTCGGTGATTGATGAAGCAATTACGAAAAAAGACTTGAATTTAAGCAACGCCGAAGCTATCATTGAATATAGCGATATGTCTGAGGGAAACACACCAACTAGTGATACGGATGCATCAGATAGAACCATCCTGCCAAGTACTAATCAATACGAATGCTCTGTGATGTCAGAGTCTAGTTCATTGATGTCACAATCTAGTCCATTGATGTCACAATGCAAAATCTTAGACAAGAACCAGAATACTCCACTTGATACTGGAGGCGCGGTTACCATGACAATGTCAAACAATGAACATGATGTTATATTTGACACAAGTCAACCACATTTAAATAACAATATGAAACCTGATGAATTTGCTCGTCAAGTATCTTTAAACATGACAGATGATGGTAAAGGATATATCAATGTCAAAACTCTGAGTGCTGATGTTAATTCACATCCCACGGGTGATAATGGAGTTACCACCCCTACAATGTCATCTGCTGCATTATTGAACTCATCCATAATGACTAAAGGGACTAGTTTATGTTGTAGCACAGGGAGTAATGATGTCAAAACTTTGGAAAAACACAAGGGAACCAATAATCTATGCATTGATCATATTGCCTCTACTTGTGAATCATTTCGGTGCCAAATAGCAGATTCTTCAAGTGATGAAAATCTGAACAATGAAGCAAGTGATCAATTTTCCCCTATGTGCAATTTACATGATAAAACATTGACTGATCAGAATAAACAAGCGTCAGTGTATGAATCACTGGATCCCTCTCATTCAGAAAATCTGAAAATTGAGGCAAATGTATTAAGTACCCCTGTGCATGATTTAAATGAGGAAGCAGTGATTGATAACAACTCCCAGGTGATACACAAGTCTTCACAATGTAAATGCACTGACTCTCATCACTCTAATGGCATTAAAAACAGGAACAATGAAGACATTGAATTGTCTTGTTTACCTGATGAACAATTAAGTGAGGAGACTGCGCAACAAATACTTAACGACGTGATCAATAATTTATCAGCTGCTTTTCATAGAACACCTGTTAATGGGAGCACGTTTGATCAACAAATCAATTTTCATTCCAGATTTGGTATTATGCAGAAGCTCTTACACATAAGTGAAGAGGATTATAAATCCAATAATGTTAACACCCCTGTATTGTCGTCTGATGAACTATTGAACTCTTCCATAATGACTGAATGGAACAGTTCAAGTTATACCACAGGGGGTATTGATGTCAATGGTGAATTTCATGATCCAATGAATTGTCTAGACAATACTTCACTTGATTACCTGAACAATGTTGACAATAAAAGTGAAAGTAGGTGTAATGAAGTAGAATCTGTTCAATCAGATGTTGCGAAAAGGGAAGAAGCTTTCTTAAGTTCTGCTGAAATCAAAGATAAAATAATCAGCATATCTAAACACATTACTGCACGAAATGATAATGATGACCTTTCAAAATTTGAAGATGAACATTTAAAGAATGATGATAACCATTCAAAAAATGATGATAACCATTTAAAATATGATGACACCCTTTCAGAAGATGATGATAACCATTCAAAATATGATCATGATCATTCAAAAGACATTGCACATCATAAATGTGATATTCCTCATCCAGCCAGTAACAAAGCAAATTCAAAGACAGAAAACAAAAAGGGAGATTTTAACCAAACAATATTCAGCATGACCATCACTGAAAACGGAATTGAATTTTTCAGTGATATGAAAAGTGAACAATTCGAACTAAAGGAAACAATAAAGGAGGTAACCTCCTATAGAAAATCATCAATTGTGGAAACTAAGAATTTATCTGATGAGGAAGAAAGAAGGAGAAAATATATTGAGAGTAATGAAGGATGGGTCCCTTATCGTAAAAAGAAAACCACTATTAATTCAGAACTGCCTAAACATCTCACATGTAAATATTGTGGAAAATATGCAAATGACACTCTTGCACCAAAATTGAATCATGCTCAGCATAAACGTAAAACAATGTATGATTTAGCTATGCATAATAACGGTTATGAAAAGGGAAATCCACACAGAGATGAAAACACCCCTTGGAATCATCCTAAAAATACCCCTGAAAACACCCCTTGGAATCATCCAAAAAACACTCCTGAAAACATCCCTTGGAATCATCACAGTCATCGTCCATACCAAAATAACTGTGACAATAAATGTAGAGAGTTTCGCAATAGGCAACCATTGCAAAGACATTCACTCAACATTCCAAATCAAACTTGGTTGAAATGGGAAGAGATGAAAGGTAGACGTAAAAATAGTATAAGCCTTTGCCATCTTAGGCTTAAAACATATGAAAATGGCACGGAAGAGAAATATCTTTACAAAATGCCGTTTACCAAATATGGACATGACATAAATGGAACACAAACCAATAGAATTAAGAATACATTGGAGCCATCTCAAAGGATCATCTCGAATGAATTCTCGAAAAACAATGTTGTGTATCGTTCGAAAGGTGGCAGCACTAGATCTTGTGACCCACGAAGGCATACTCTTGGTTCATATGCAAACGTAAACTATGCAAATCCTGAAATATTCTGCAGTTGTCCATACAGGGTAAGTGATTTAATTTCTTGGGATAAATGTTGGTTACGTTTTGGATAGTCATAGCAGTTTCCATATGCATTGGGAGGGAGGCGAGAGAATCTGTTGATTTGGGCTAAAGGAGAATATATAGACTTTTGCCTTTGAAAACATCCTTATATAATAGAAAATGTTGAATAGCCAGTTGCCTTGATTGTTTCACACCTGACTTACAAATGTATACATTTACATTCATATCCTAACATTTACATTTATATGTTATCACTTACATTCATATGTTAACATATACATGTATATGTTATCACTTGATTCATATGTTAACATTTACATTTATATGTTATCACTTACATTCATATGTTAACATATACATTTATATGTCATCACTTACATTCATATGTTAACATATGCATCTATATGTTATCACTTACATTCATATGTTAACATATACATTTATATGTTATCGCTTACATTCATATGTTAACATATACATTTATATGTTATCACTTACATTCATATGTTAACATAATGTTAATATTAATGTTCTTATTATGAATGTAAATGTAATTGTAAATGTATTGGCTCTTCAAAATTTTTTATAAGGTGGTTATTCAAGGCAAATGTCTATATCCCTCCTTTAGCCCAAATTAGCCTTATTTTTGGTCCATGCTGTATCTTCAACACCTAAAGCACATTTCTGAGTAATTTAGAAGTAATTCAAGTACAAGATTAATATTTGAATGCACTGTATATGGGCAGATGATTTAATTCCGAAGTAATTTAAGCAGTAACCTGTCTATGACGCATATGAGACAGATTAGAAACAAGATATTTCCAAGACATTGGAGGATATGTCAGATCTGATTTTCAATTCCAAATTGGTTTTAGATTGGTTTAGCAATTCGGAGGAATGACCAGAATGACCATAGACTTAATTTAATTGTGGAAAAACTGGTTACTATGGTTACCAATTCTCATAAAACACTGGCAATGACAATGTTCTTTGATCTCATCCATGTTGTTGTTTTATAAAGGAATCTTTATGATAGATGTACTTTGATGGAAATCTTGTAATTAGATTAATACCCTGTATCAATATTATTTTCACCCATCCCTCTGACTATTTTAATTGATTTACATTTTGTTGAAGCAGCTGATAAGGATTTCAATCTTTTTATGGGGTTTGAATAATGTAATGATTGCCATCAACAAAAAATGCTTTATTGTGATTCTCTGACTATATGTTTTAATTCAGCATAGTACGTAGGCTACATCAAAGAATCATCTGTTATTTAAAGAGTGAAGGTGACCTCATGATCTTGCCAAGAGTAGTACTACCTTTCACTTTACTCCTTTCATTTTTTGTTAAAGGTTCTTTTCAAATACCATAAAGTCTTGTAATATAGAATGAATATAATATTCATATAGATTATCCTATATGAGGTTCGGGATATTGGAACTATCCTGAGGGGAATATAATATATCTGCCCGAGGGCACTAGTGCTTGGAGCAGGATATAAAGCTATATCTGCCCACTGATGAAAATATAAGTTTTTAAAAACCTGCTTTATGTACCTGTCACACGTCCAAGTATGGGATAAAATGATTTATCCTAGAGTTGAGGTCACATCTTTAGGATATCATGCAATTAGACATGTATATATGGAATGTTTCAAATGCATGGAAGTGTGATATATAATTCCCACCATTGTGCTGGATGCTTCATGAAATAGTTTTAGGTACAGTAAAACCTGTCTAAGAAGAATACCTTTGGTACCTCAAAAAAATGTTCTACTTGGGAGGTGTTCCACTTGGGAAGTGTTCCACTAAGAGATGTGTTTACCCTAAAGTCGTTCTACATAATAGAGGTTCATTTGGCATTAAGTCAGTCAGTCTTGGGACTCTGAAAAGTGTTCCACTTAGAGAGGTGTTCCACTTATAGAGGTTCATTTGGCATTTAAGTCAGTCGGTCTTGAGACTAGTACTATATAAAGGCAGTCGATTTATGCAATTAAAGACAATCTTGAATGGATATAGTTAGATTAAAAATTGGAAGATTATGGGCGAATAATTGGTTGATCAATGTCATAGAAAATGTGCAATCTGATTGATTATTTTTACAAGCAGTTATTCAATATTAGATGATGGATAACTGACATTGATAGAGAAGGTTCATCGTATATGGAGGCTATATGTATAGAAGTCATATATGACATCATTCATATATGACATTTGTAGGAATAATTGGTTGATCAATTTTAGAGAAAATGTATAATCTGATTGATTATTTTGACAAGCAGTTATTCAATTTTAGATGATGGTTAACTGACATTGATAAAGAAGGTTCATCGTATATGGAGGCTATATGTATAGAAGTCATATTTGACATCATTCATATATGACATTTTGTGTGAATAATTTCTCTGATCAATGTCAGAGAAAATGTATAATCTGATTGATTATTTTTACAAGCAGTTATTCAATATTAGATGATGGATAACTGACATTGATAGAGAAGGTTCATCGTATATGGAGGCTATGTATAGAAGTCATATATGACATCATTCATATATGACATTTTGTGGGAATAATTTCTCTGATCAATGTCAGAGAAAATGTGTAATCTGATTGATTATTTTTACAAGCAGTTATTCAATATTAGATGATGGTTAACTGACATTGATAGAGAAGGTTCATCGTATATGGAGGCTATATGTGTAGAAGTCATATATGACATCATTCATATATGACATTTTGTGGGAATAATTGGTTGATCAATGTCAGAGAAAATGTATAATCTGATTGATTATTTTTACAAGCAGTTATTCAATATTAGATGATGGATAACTGACATTGATAGAGAAGGTTCATCATATATGGAGGCTATATGTATAGAAGTCATATATGACATCATTCATATATGACATTTTGTAGGAATTTTGGTTGATCAATGTCAGAGAAAATGTATAATCTGATTGATTATTTTTACTGACATTGATGGAGAAGATGCATATATGGAGGCTATATATAGAAGTCATATATGACATCATTCATATATGACATCATCACAACATAAAACATGTGCAAATACATGAAGGTAACTATCAAGGTGGGGGGGGGCATAGGTGAGGGTATTTTAAAAGTAATTGATGACAGTTATATAATCTAAAATGCGAGAAATGTGAGAAAGAACTTTCCAGTTTTCATATCTCATAATTATTTCTTCTGGGGATAGTAGATATGTAAAAAGGAAATACAAAACATAAACATATCAGAAGGAATAATTTCAGATGATATAATATATAACTTCAAGGCATCATTGTATTAAAGAGAGTTGTGTTCATTATATTTATTTAGAACCAGCGATATATCAACTCAAAGATTTTCACCAAACATGCCTCGGGTCTTCGATATCATAATGGATACATTCGCAATGTTGGCATATAGGGAAGATTACTTTCAGCTCTCTTACATCCCAGTTGTAGTGTTGTAATTGTCACGTCCCTGCTAATATCATATTATTGGAAACATTTTATTTCAAAAAGTGTTTTGATTAAAGTTTCTTGTGATGTTCTTCTTCTATTATGATCTGGTTTTCTTCAATTTTGCATCAATCCTAAAAGTAATTAATCTCTTTTGATCACTGCGTATGGTTTATGTCTTGATAAAGTTATCTTTACTCGATCAAATGATACCCTGAGTGTGGAGTTTAGTTATATGCCAGTGAGTGATGTGCGATGGGTGCAAATGTACCCCTCCCCATAACCAATAAAAATTTTTTTTACTGAAGTTGGAAATGAATTGGAATCTACAGAACGTTTTCATTCTGAAAACAATGAAAGGAACACTAAGACCTCATTATATAAACTGGTCTAAGAGACCTGGCTTCCAAAAGGATTTTTATGACTAAGAACTTCCAAATAATTCTTTGGATAAATAGTATTATCCTATGCCAAGTAGAGTTTTAGGGAGATTTGTTGGTAAGATATATCCCGTATCCTGATTTTGAGGTTTATTTTTAAAATAAAAAATGCACATCTACCTTCGGTCCCTACGGTCCCTCAGGTAGATATGCATATCTCCCTCTGGATAAACCCCATATCCAAAACCTCCCAGTACATAACCCTTATTTATCACACCAGTAGGTTTTGTATATTTGATAAATGTCACTGCAATTTTGAAATCAGCCAGGCTTGAGGCATACAGTGGCATATTTACGATTCTACGGCCAATTGCAGGAATGTCGGGACATGCTTTGATAGGTGTGATTGCTCAGTGTTAAAAGGAGAAACTAAATAAACCGATGCTTTTGCTGATCACCACTATGGGTTTCTTTGTGGGCCAAGGATTACTGATTAGTAGCATTACATACACGAACATTATTCTAACCATGGGTCATTCATCCTCGTTTGTGCTTTCTTTGTCTCAGAATGAAAAAGTTCTGTAGATTCAGATTCATCTCCAGCTTCTGTAAAGATATCCTTTAGATCATCCTCATCTGCAGTTTCAGCTGCAATAAAGTTGTCATCTTTAACTAGCAAAAAGGGGTTTGGTTGTACTTGGGGATTCATTTTATTTGTTTTCACATTATTTAGTTTTTTATACCCAGCTATAATCGGATGATGCACATTCAATGGCTGGCAATTTTTAAGTGAGACGCTGGTGACATATTTTATTCAAATAAAGGTGAATAATTCATGATCCATG